TTCAGGCTATTGGGAGACTTCTCTGCCTTTATGTTTGGGAAGGTGCCATATTGCAGAGAGCTAATTAGGTCTAGAGATTGGAGTGTGGAGGAAAGCTTTTGCGGGTCTGTTTATTTCATTTCCGGGCGGTTTTTAAAAAAATAATAGACACATGCAAACACACCACTGTGTAGCTCCATTTCTGCAACCCCAAAAAAATGTTTGTATGACTTCGGGGCATGTTTTTTTCTCTTTCTGTCTCTCTGGATTTATGAGAACAACGTTCATTCCCGCTTTGAGGGAGTAACACGAATAAACGCATTAAAGCAAAATGGATATGCCTGAATCAAACAATTAATATCTGTCATGTGGTGGGTTATTGGTTTAGGGGTTGTGTTCCTCCCCCCTTTCTGCTGTGAACAAATTCTTACTGCGAGAGAGAAAGAATAAAGTATTGTATGGAATTCAAAACAAGCTTATTGCATGGGATTTCTCAAGGGCTTGGAGAGAAATGCACACATTATTCATGCAGTTCCTCCTCTCTGCAAACTCTCCTATAATAATAATAATAATAATAATAATTTATTATTTAAACCCCGCCCATCTGGCTGGGCCTCCCCAGCCACTCTGGGAAGCTTCCAAAAAAATATTAAAATACTGTAATATATCAAACATTAAAAGCTACCCTAAACAGGGCTGCCTTTAGATGTCTTCTAAAAGTCTGGTAGTTGTTGTTCTCTTTGACATCTGGTGGGAGGGCATTCCACAGGGAGGGCGCCACTACCAAGAAGGCCCTCTGCCTGATTCCCTGTAACTTGGCTTCTCGCAGTGAGGGAACCGCCAGAAGGCCCTCGGTGCTGGACCTCAGTGTCCAGGTAGAACGATGGGGGTGGAGGCACTCTTTCAGATATACTGGACCGAGGCTGTTTAGGGCTTTAAAGGTCAGCACCAACATTTTGAATTGTGCTCAGAAACATACTGGGAGCCAATGTAGGTCTTTCAAGACCGGTGTTATATGGTCTCGGCGGCCGCTCCCAGTCACCAGTCTAGCTGCCGCGTTCTGGATTAGTTGTAGTTTCTGGGTCACCTTCAAAGGTAGCCCCACGTAGAGCACATTGCAGTAGTCCAAGCGGGAGATAACCAGAGCATGCACCACTGTCCACAGGCAGACAGGGACTCAGCCTGCGTACCAGATGGAGCTGGTAGACAGCTGCCCTGGATACAGAATTGACCTGTGCCTCCATGGACAGCTGAGTCCAGAATGATTCCCAGGCTGCGCACCTGGTCCTTCAGGGGCACAGTTACCCCATTCAGAACCAGGGAATCCTCCACACCTGCCCGCCTCCTTTCCCCAAAAAACAGTACTTCTGTCTTGTCAGGATTCAACCTCAATCTGTTAGCTGCCATCCATCCTCCAACTGCCTACTCTTATGAGAACCAGTGAGGAGCCCTGCTGGATCAGGCCTGTGGCCCATCTGGTCCAACATCCTGTTCTCACAGCAGCCAACAAGTTGCTTCTTCAAAGCCCACCAGCAGGACTTGGGTGCAACAGCAATCTCCCCACTGGTGATTCACAGCAACTGGTATTCAGAGGCTTCCTGCATCTAAGACTGGAGGTAGAATTTATTCAAATGCTTGCACTGGCTGTGCATATACTACCAGGCCAGGTTCGAAATTCTTGCGTTAATTTACAAAGCCTTTCACAGCTTGGATCCAGGATAACTCAGGGATGACTTGATTATTTGCATTCTGATCCCTGATGTCTTTGGGGGAATAATTATTAGTGGTCCTCCCATGGCTTGGAATTCACGGCTTCTATTCCAGTGTTTTCAGTCCTGTGGATCCAGTTTGTGCAACTTCCTCCCAGTTGAAGTCAAACAGGCCCCTTCGCTGCTGAATGTCTGACATTTCCTGAAGACTCCTTAACTGAATTCTGATTTTATAATTTCAACTCATTTTTAATCTTATTGTATTGGGTTTCATGCACACCACTTAGAGACGGCTGTGATTAAGTGGGATGCAAATTGTTGAAATAAAAACAGTTGTACTTTGGAAGTCAAAAGGAATCCATTCCGGGAGTCCGTTCGACTTTCAAAGCATTCGGGAACCAAGGCGCAGCCTCTGATTGGCTACAGGAAGCTCGCAAGGCATTCAACTTCTGAGGTACGACTGTAATCATAAATGGCAGCTGTCAAGGGTAGTAGTCGCTGGGAGCCTTGTCCTCCATGAATCTATCTGATCCTGTTCTAAAGCCATCCAAGCTGGTGACCATCATTACATCTTGTGACAGCAAATGTCATAGGTTAACCATGCACTGTGTGAAGAAGACCCACTTTCGTCCATCCTGAATCTTCCCAGTGTCCAGTTTCAACATTCAGTTCTTTCTTTCTAGATCAGAGTTTCCCAAACTTGGATCCCCAGCTGTTGTTGGACTACTACTCCCATCGTGCCTAGCTAGCAGGACCAACAGTCAGGGATGATGGGATTTGTAGTCCAACAACAGCTGGAGACCCATTTGGGAAACCCTGTTCTGGAGCCCTACACATAGCTGTCAACTTTCCCTTTTTTTTAAGGGAAATCCTAAAAAGGGAAACGTTGACAGCTATGGCCCTACAGCCCTGAGGAACAGATACTTTCCCCACCAAACTGCAGCGGGATCGGATATTGGGTAACAGGCCAGGCAGGGATTGGCTCCAGGTTTGAAGAGCCCCTTTGCAGAATCCATTCTAGCAGGAGTCCTCCTACACTGGTGGACTTGTCCCCAGGCATACCAGGTAGTGATGGCAGGCAGCTGCGAACTATCGTTTCCCACAATGCCCTCAGGCATAGAGGAAACTGGTGGAATTTAAAATTGTACCTTGAGAGCTGGGGGCGGACACTGTGGCCCCCTACAGCTTCCAGAAGATGCGGTGTCCTGAATCCAAGGGCCCCATTCACCTCCCTTCCAGATGACCCACAGTCAGTGGAGTCTGAACTAGAAAAGTACAGCTGTCAGATGAGGATCATGCCAGGAAGTCTTCAGGTCTCTATGGTTTCCCTTAATGGCTGATCCGTTGGACCAAGTCAGGCTAGGATTTGAAGCCATGGATGTCTAGTCATTATCCAATGTTTCCCAGTTCATACACAAGAGGAAAGGCTCATTTGTATCTCAGCTTATTAAGCCAATATATCGGGGTGAGGAAACTTCAGCTCAAGGGCCACATACCTTCCTAATCAGCATTCTGGGGGCCAAATACCAAAGGGGGCCAAAGTGGACAGAACAGCAAATGTGGACAGAGCAACCCCCCCCCCCAATTTGTTCAGTAGGGTAGTTTCCACACACATAAACACAGACCTTTGTCCTCCATTCAGGCAAGAATGAGGCATTACAGTGGTACCTCTGGTTGTGAATGGGATCCGTTCCGGAGGCCTGTTCGCAACATGAAAAGAGTGCAACCCGCAGCGGCGCGTCTGCACACTCATGGGTTGCGATTCGCCACTTCTGCGCATGCGTGTGATGTCATTTTGTGCTTCTGCGCATGCGCGAGCAGTGAAACCTGGAAGTAACCCTTTCCGGTACTTCCAGGTCGCCACGGGACGTAACCTGAAAGAACATAACATGAATCGGACGTAACATGAGGTATGACTATATTAGAGTTCAATGACACATTCCAGCCAGGCAAAAACAGCAAAGTGGGGCATGAAACAGGACTAGTGATGGGTGTGGCCTGAGGAGAGCCTCAAGGGCCAGAAAAAGAAGTCTCGAGTGCTGCGTTTGTCCCCCACCCCCTGACTGGAGGTTCCTCATCTCTGCATTATATGATAATCCAAATGCAGCCATTGAAAACCGGACTTTATTCTTCCTCCTCCCCTTCCTGCTCCCACCTGGAAACATTATGCACAAAGCTCAAGAAGGTTCACTTCCATATCGATTGAAATCCATCAATTCTAGCCTCAGACTTTGAATATTAGTCTCCTGCCCTTGGAGCGGAGAGAAACTCCGGAGGAAAAGTCCTCTCTAATGCAAGAAAAAGCAAGGCAACCCATCTCAGAGCACAAATAAGCAATATCTGCGAGAAGCAAATGCACCGGGTCTCGCTGGATGTCGGGAATAATCAGTCTCTTCATTCAAAGGCAAGGGAAAACAGATACATTTTAATGACGACTCTCACAGAGGCCCATCGTCCCAAGTGATGGATTCTGGCACGGAAATGTCTCGGGCCAGGCTGCCAAACAGAACTGTCTTTGTTGCCTCCCGCTTCAGAGCGTCGCCGCCTGACTAGGAGCAGCGGCAGCGGAATCTCGAGAGCCACCAATTAACTTCACGACTCTGGGGTGGGAGAAACCCAGCAGTCTTGGCTTAGGCTCATCATGCGCTCTTCCAAGCCCAGCCCCAACATTCTGCTGCCTCCTTATGCCGGGGCAGGTATTTAAGTGAAGCTAAAGCTACAGCCGTGACAGCAGTCACGAAATGAAAAGACGCCTGCTTCTTGGGAGAAAAGCAATGACAAACCTAGACAGCATCTCACAAAGCAGAGACATCACCTTGCCAACAAAGGCCCATATAGTTAAAGCTATGGTTTTCCCAGTAGTGATGTATGGAAGTGAGAGCTGGACCATAAAGAGGGCTGACTGCCGAAGAACTGATGCTTTTGAATTATGGTGCTGGAGGAGACTCTTGAGAGGCCCATGGACTGCAAGAAGATCAAACCTCTCCATTCTGAAGGAAATCAGCCCTGAGTGCTCACTGGAAGGACAGATCCTGAAGTTGAGGCTCCAATACTTTGACCACCTCATGAGAAGAGAAGACGTCCTGGAAAAGAACCTGATGTTGGGAAAGATGGAGGGCACAAGGAGAAGGGGACGACAGAGGACAAGATGGTTGGACAGTGTTCTTGAAGCTACCAGCATGAGTCTGACCAAACTGCGGGAGGCAGTGGAAGACAGGAGTGCCTGGCGTGCTCTGGTCCATGGGGTCACGAAGAGTCGGACACAACTAAACAACTAAACAACAACAACAAAGCTACAACCCCTGAGGGAGAGAAGTAGCTCAGTGGTAGGATATCTGCCTGGCATGCCGAAGGGCCCAAGTTCAATCCCCGGCAACTCCAGGTACGACTGGGAGAGATTCCCTGCTTAAAACCCTCTGAGTGTCCCTGTTTTAGGCCCAGATTTACAGAAGCCATCCCAGTTTCTGATTTGATCCTGGAATGTTCCGCTTTTTCTTAGGATGGCCCTATTTCCACTGGAGAAATGCTGGAGGGTATGCAGTTATGCGACCCTCGAGCCAAGGAGATAAGTAACTGCACAACCTTTAGAAGACATCTGCAGGCAGCCCTGTATAGGGAAGGTTTTTTAAAATGTTTAATGTTTTATTATGTTTTTATATATGTTGGAAGCCGCCCAGAATGGCTGGGGCAACCCAGTCAGATGGGTGGGGTATAAAAAGTATTATTATTATTATTATTATTATTATTATTATTATTGAATAGGATGTCCCTATTTTCACTGGGGAATGTCAGAATTGGCAACACTAAGCTTGATGGGCCCAATGGTCTCAGCGGCGGAGGAAGCTGCTCGGGCGCCTGGGGCGGGGCGAGGGCGGGGCGAGGCGCCCATAGGGGCGTCGCACACCACGGGGCCTCCGGAGTCTGCCTGCCTCCTCCCATTCAGCTGCCCTACAGCTGGGGGGGAGGCAGCGGGTGGACTGTTTGGGCAGCGCAGAGCCAACATGCGCCCAAGCCACCATGTCTCTCCCAGGAGAGACGCATGGCTCGGGCACGCTGCAGGCCCTACGGTGAGTGCTGCCCAGCATTTTGACACACACCCCTCAGCGGTGACACCTGGGGCGGGCCGCACCCACCGCACCCCCCTTCCTCCGCCCCTGAATGGTCTGACCCAATATAAGGCGCAGCTTCCTACATTTCCAAGGTACATGTGATGGCCTGGGATTCGGACTCGGAGGCTGAACCTGAGGAATCCCAGCCTGCACAGGAGTCCCCGCCTCCAGAACCAGCTGGGCTGGGGCTGGGGCTTGAGCCTGAAGGGTCCTCACCTGTGCTGGATCCTCAGGTGCAGGCATCAGCTGAGTCTGCTCTGGCTCCTGAGGTGATGGAGGACCCATTGCCTGCACGTGCGCCACTCTCAGCCCCGTCAGAGGAAGCTGAGGTTGCCTCTGGGTCTGGTAACCCTCCAGCCTCTCCTGAGCTGCAGAGAGGCGGAGGGAACTAAGTTCATGCAGGAGGAGTGCTCGCCTCCAGGCCAGGAGAGGCGAGTCACCTGTGGACTGGGGCCGCCCTATGCCTCAGGGCAGATAAAAGCCAGTCAGCCCCAGTCCCAGGTTGCGGGAGCAACGTTGTTGCTAGCCTGTTCCTGCCTGCACCCTGTCCTGCTCTTCTGCCAGAGTTCTCGACCTCACCCGACTCCCTGCCTTGGACCCAGCTTCAGCTTTGATGGACAGCCTTCATACCGCACCCTCGACCTCGGACTGGACTCGGACCTCGCTGCACGGTTAACCCTCGGGAACAGCACAGTACATGGAAAACACCTCTGAACTCAGAGCGGATCATTGCAATTCTGGTCCAAAGAACCAGGCTGACTGAGACAACAGGCTATGATGACTCTCCTCCAGGCTAGGAAAATGCCCCACACCTGCCGTGAAGCAAAGCACAGCAGGTGCTCAAGAGAAGCCCAAAATAGCTTTGCAGCCTACGCCTGTTACGCCAGAGACATTTGTGCAGCCAGAAAAAGGCTTTATGAGGCTCCATGCATACAAACGAGCTCGATTTCGGGGTTGGTGCAGTCAGCATTCACCTGCAGCTCCGGAAGTGAGCAGAGAGCACAAGATACAGGCTTAGGCATGGTGGCACTCTAACCAAGGTGTGCCGCCAAAGGCTGATGGACCACAACTCCCATCATCCCTCACCATTGGCCAAGCTCACTGGGGCTGGTGGGAGCTGGAGTCCGCCAATATCAAGAGAGCACACCATTTGCTTTAGTCCAGGATTTGGGAACCTTTTCCAGCTCAGGGGCCACATTTCCTTCTGAGTAACCATTTGGGGGCCGCATTCCAGTGGTTAGGAGGGCCAGAAGCAAAAGTGTCCACCACAATGCAAACGTTGCTTTTGTACTGTAGGCTACTTTCTAAACAGGTTTGCACACGCTTCTCTTTGAGAGGAATGTAAGCTGAGTGGTTAATGTGCATAATAACCAGTCATTGTGCACATTCACCAGGCCGCATAGAAACTGTGCACATTATCTTTCCATGAAGAAGGAACTGTGCACATTTCACACTCAATATGCATAAACCTCAACAGGCCCTAATAGCATTTTGTACATTCTCTGGGCAATATGGGCATGAGATCACAGATCTGGGAAAAATGTTTCTTGGGGGGCACCCAAAAACACGCATTTTGGGGCACTGTGTGAGATCGTGGACCTGGAAAGAAACACGTTTTTGTAGAAGATCTCAGCCTAAAATCGTGATAGAACAAAGCACCCAAAATGGCTGCTATACTCTCACACAAAAAAATGGGTTGTTCTGTTTTTTCCCAGGGCAGCTGACAGGTATGTTGTAGTCCTAAACATCCAGAGGGTACCAGGTTGGTAAAAGTTACTATAGATTGTGTAGGAAGACTGGTTTCCACATTCCTCCCTTTAAGAGGGGGATACCAGAGACAACTACTGGGAGGCAGGTGGTGCTGTGGTCTAAACCACTGAGCCTCTTGGGCTTGCCGATCTGAAGGTCAGCGGTTCAAATCCCTGTAACAGAGTGAGCTCCCATTGCTCTGTCCCAGCTCCTGCCAACCTAGCAGGTCGAAAGCACACCAGTGCAAGTAGATAAATAGGTACCACTGTGACAGGAAGGTAAACGGCGTTTCCGTGCGCTCTGGTTTCCATCATGGTGTTCTGTTGCGTCTTAAGGTATTTAGTCCTACTGGCCACATGACCTGGAAAGCTGTCTGTGGACAAACGCCGGCTCCCTCGGCCTGAAAGCAAGATGAACGCCACAACCCCACAGTCGCCTTTGACTGGACTTAACCGTCCAGGGGTCCTTTACCTTTTCTCTTTTTTAAAAAAACCAGAGACAACTACTCTGTTGTTGCTTATTGCTTAGAAATAGGAAAAGAAATATTTTATAGTTTTTTTTAATATCTAACCTCATAAAACATTTAAAAATAAATATCTCTCACTCTTAAACCCCAGATCCCAGACTGTTCAAAACATGAATAGCTTTTAGCCGTAATGAAAAACTTGTTTTTTCTTTAAACAGAAGTCTACATAAACCAGAAAGTTGTACACAACAGGATCAAAGTGCTTAGGACAAAATGAACTCCATCCTTTTATCATATGCAGGAGCAGCATAAAGCAGTACCCACCCTTTTGATACAAAACTCTCCAGTCGAAAAACACAACTGTATTGAATTGCAGCAGAATACCATTGAACATTTCTATTTATGAGAACAGAATTGCCCATTAAAGCAAAGCAACAAAGAAATGAAATGAGATTAAAGGATTGGAGAGGGAGGGGAGTAGGAAGGGGCAAAATATGAAGAAACTTTGCAAGGTAGAATTCCAAGGATGAGGACAGGCAAAGTCTAATTTAAAATAAACATTTGTGTAGATGGCAGATCCTTGCCAACTTTGGTGCCAAGTCAGAGACATTCAGTGGCAACAATGGGAAGAGCTTAGTAGCACTGATGTACAAAATTTGATTTGGGTTGTTTTGAGAAGCAAAAGGAACTATTTCTGGAAATCAGAAATAAATGACTGAAAGCTGCTGAAATAAGGACTAAATCCACCTGCACACAAAATGTGCACAAAATGTGCACACTCTCTCTCTCTCTCTCTCTCTCTCTCTTTCTCTCTCTCTCTCTCTCTCTTTTAAGGAAATAAATAAGAACTAGCTTTGCATTAGATTCTCTGCAAGGGCTTTTAAAAAAAAGTCACTATTCAGCCACAGTGTCCCTTGTCAAAAGCAGATTGAGCACATTTAATTCAGTATTATTATTTATTAAATTTTTATACTGCCCTTCAGATCACAGGGGAGTTTAATAACATAATAACAAACAAAAACAATAACCCCTCCCCCCTAAAGCAGCTTAAAAGGTCATAAAGGTAATGGGACCCCTGACCATTAGGTCCAGTCGTGGCCGACTCTAGGGTTCCGGCGCTCATCTCGCTTTATTGGCCGAGGGAGCCGGCGTACAGCTTCCGGGTCATGTGGCCAGCATGACTAAGCCACTTCTGGTGAACCAGAGCAGCACACAGAAATGCTGTTTACCTTCCTGCCGGAGCAGTACCTATTTATCTACTTGCACTTTGATATTCTTTCGAAGTGCTAGGTTGGCAGGAGCAGGGACTGAGCAACGGGAGCTCACCCCGTCGCGGGGATTCGAACCACCGACCTACTGATCGGCAAGTCCTAGGCTCTGTAGTTTAACCCACAGCGCCACCCGCGTCCCTAAAAGGTCACAGATTGTTTAATTAGCCAAAGGCCTGTAAGAAGAGGGATGTTTTTGCCTGGCGCCTGAAGATATGTAATGAAGGCGCCAGGCAAGCCTCCCTGGACAGAACATTCTACAAGTAGGGAGCCACCACAGAAAAGGCCTGTTCTCGTGTTGCCACCATCCAGACCTCTTGTGGAACAAAGGGCCTTAGAGGATGACCACAGGGTCTGGGTTGATCCATATGGGGAGAGGCCTCATGAGTGGGCCAGCCCTGCAGGTGATGGTGTAGACAGGTGAACATATGGGAAGCTTCATTACGCTGGGTCAAATCCCTGGTCCACCCAGCTCAACATTGTCTGAGTGTTTGAGGACCGGGACATTCCCAGGGAAACCAAAACGCTTGTCTACAAAGCTATTCTACTATTGTATGCTTGTGAAACGTGGACCACTTATAAACGCCATCTCCAACTCCTCGAAAGATTCCATCAACGGTGTCTTTGAAAAATATTACACATCACCTGGGAAGACAGGCGAACTAATGCCAGTGTACTAGAAGAAGCAAAGATCACCAGTGTTAGATGCCTGATTATCGTCTTCCAAAGCAACTACTCTATTCTGAACTTAAAAATGGAAAGCGCGATGCTGGTGGTTAATGAAAGAGG